AGAAGAGATAAGGTTACTATAAATAAATAACAATAATGAAACAATTTGCATAATATAAGCAGGACGTTAATGACAAGGAAACTAACAACACTACACGCTATAAACAATATATGATGGATAACAACAATAATAGAACAAATTTCCTAATAAAAAATACATAGTGAAACAGAGAAAAGCTTGTTATTGTTGTATTGTGGACAAATGTATAATATACTTTTATCACTTATTTGCACTAAAAAGTTTGTATATGATATTTTATAAGCATTTGTTTCCACTTTTTGTGTTCATTTAAAATGAATTTTGCAAGATTTATTAATTTAAATCCGTAAATGTGTCAAAGAATAAAGCGACGTATCTAAGATTGTACAGTTCCCTGAAACTAAAACATATGTAATATGAGAAATAATTATAGAGATGTTGAAAGAAAAAAAAACTGTTTAAAATGCAAATATTATGGATTGCTACTACCCCATTGTATGAAAATGACCTGCAATGAGGTATTGACAGTTTACACTGTGATTGGCTATCATCAGCATATTGCCTATAAAAGTACAGGCAGTAGTACTATTCCCAGCAGCATTGTGTAACTGAATTCATGGTTCCTAGCACAGAAATACCATTTGACAAAGGCTCAAAAATTAAAGTTTTTCTGGTGAAGGCTACTCTATACAACAGATTGCGGCTATGTTTCGTGTTTCTGCAGGAGCTGTATGAAAGTGAAGATGTTGAACGAAACTAATACTGTTCATAACAAATTTGAAGGCCCAAATTCTACAAGAGTGATTTTAAGTAACTCAGTGAATGTTCTTTATGTGACGCACGCCAATCCAGTAGAGATCTCACCAATGAATTAGCTGTAAGTACTGGTGTTAAATGTACCTTCAGAACAGCGAGATACACAAGAAACAGTATTATTATTATTAGCCTGAATGGGTGTGTGTAGCTAATAAAAAAAAAATTATAATAATAAATACCGCTTCGGGGAGATAACCAAACAAAAAGACTGAATTGTATATCAGCATTCAAACAATGGGATGAAAAAAGTTATAAGGGGGCGCTTCTTATAGATTATCTAAATTCACATTGTTTGGCAACAAAGAATGATAGTTTATATGATGGCAGAGAGGAGAACGGTATCACAGTTAGCGTATAAGTCAACAGTGAAAACATGCTGAGAGACCAGTACAACTATAGGCATATCAACCAATGATGTTGGAAGTCTACACAAAAGTGATGGCACCAAGACTGCTGATAGGTACATACAGATTTTTTTATACTTAATTTTTTTACCTCAGAAACAAGATTTTTTGGCAGGGATTCATCATAGAACAGATTCAGTTCTTCATGATTTAGCCTACGTTAATCGTTAGTAACTCCTCTTAAAATAATCTGGCAAAGAATTTCTTAATTTACATCAAATCAGCTGAAGCCAATTGAGTAGATGCTTTGAAAACATGCACTTCAGACTAATATTTACCAGTTAACTTTTTTATTTTTGTTCTTTTGTAGCATGTTTAGGAACGATGCCTTCATTTTTGTTATAATACAAAACATTAAATATCCCAGGTTACGTTTCTTAAATAAATAGGTTTTTATTTCGTAGATATGCTAGAAAGCCCACCAACATGTTTTAGTTCAATATAACATTTCATAAATTAAAATATGAGAATAATATACATGTGATATTTAAAGCTCATGTATTTCTATACACAAAAATATATTCAGTTAGTTCAATACTGAACATTTACTATCGTGAAAAGACCAAAATCCAGGTACAATGACAAAATTCCATATAAAAAACACATAAGATCATTGTGCCAATTTTACAAACATATATATTCCTTGGATGTCCCTTCTCACTATACAGAGTTCAAGAAGTTCAGCTATAGATGGCTGAATAAATATTACAGCAATAAAATAAGTAACACTTCTCACTTAGAAATATGGAAATGTGGAGCAAATGTACAACATCCTTTGAGTTGAAAATTCCATCCTTACAAAATGGAAAGTATCTTTAGTCCTCTCAAATTAAACTTAAAATTTGAACTATCTGGAAGTAAATATCAACTTTTGAGGTTTATGTAACCATCTGGGGGCTGAAAATTCTGCCCTATTAAAAGGGTAGTACTTTAAATTCCCTAAATTATTTTACCATTTAAGCTGAATTTTGAATTCCAAATCATTTTAAGGCAGAAATAGTTTTAGTTATGTATTTTCTTGGTTTATTTTTCAATTATGCTTTCTAACAACTTGGTTTTTGTACATTATCAATAAATATATAGTTAACCGCATAGGCGACAAAAATATCTAAATTAAAGAATAGATTAAACAATCGCCAAGTTTTTTATATTTTCTTATTTTAAGAGAATGACGTCATCCTCTTAAAATGAAATATAAAAAATTGGCGATTGTTTAACCTATTCTTTAACTTTGTACATTGTTGTTTACTTTTAATTATTTCTTCTAACAACTTGGTCCCTGTATATTATTGGTTTATTCTTCAGTTATGTCTTCTAATAATTTGTTGTTGGTTTTTAACATTATTAGTTTATTTTTGAGTTATGTTTTCAAACAATGTGTTGTTTTTTTTCATTATTGGTTTATACTTCAGTTATGTTTTCTAACAATTTGTTTTCTTTTACATTATTGGTTTATTTTTCAGTTATGTCTTCTAATGTCGTGTTTTTTTGTACATTATTGGTTTACATTTCTGTTATGTTTTCTCACAACATAGTTTTGTGTACACTACTGATTTACTTTCCCGTCACTCAAGATTAATATTTTTACTTGTATTAAGGACTAGGATTCTTACAGAAAACGAAACATTTCCATGACAATGAAAATTGTTGGTTTGAAAGCCTAACTAAATATATGTGAATTTTAGATAAGAAAATTATAAACTTAAAAAACTTTGAAAACCATTTATTGTACGCAACTGTAAAGTACATTTTCATTAAGAAATACTCATCACATACCTGTTGCCATTTTGAGAGAAAAAAACTTTTAAATAAAAATGATTTACAAGGAATATTAAAAACAGCATTAGAACGCACTGAAAAATAGCTTTTTAGGTAAAAAAATAAAACTACAACTTTCCAAAGGAAAAAGGTTACATGTGGTACGTTTATTTATTTTGATTGTTTTTCTTGGATTTTTGGCGGGAGTTTAAAGCTCCAAAATTAACATACTCTAAAAATGCAATATATATATATATATTTTTTATTTTTGACGAAATTCGATATCCAAAATCCAGCACGACAAAACAACTGTTGCTACACCTGTTAAAAACATCAGCAGGAGAAGTCAATTCCACAACTTAAATAATTTGTCATATTTTTATGTTCAATGATTGCCATTTCTTCATCTTTATACTGAATTAATAACTGGAATTGGTGTCTTGGTTCCTAATAACAAATATTACACATAACTGGAATATATAAATTTCATAAACTTACAGTTGTTCATTCCACAAACAGCTGAAGTGTTTTTGTCCCATGAAATTTACACATTTACATTTTGTTGCAACTATTAAATAAATAGAAGAAAACATATCAGTTAGCCACTTTCATTCATCGAGTTATGTCTTGAGGTTAAAAAGATATTAACGTGATTTAAACTTTTGTTGAATTATTGATACAAAACTATCACGTGTTCCTTATTATCTTAACACATACTCCCAACAATACTGGCGAGTAGTATTCACTTCTCCACACACACCTGTAGTTCCAAGATTAATTATAAATATACAATTAACAATACTGGCGAGCAGTATTCACTTCTCCACACACTTGAAGTTCAACGATTACTTGTAAGCATACAATTAACAATACTGGCGAGTAGTATTCACTTCTCCACACACCTGTAGTTCCAAGATTAATTATAAATATACAATTAACAATACTGGCGAGCAGTACTCACTTCTCCACACACCTGTAGTTCTACGATTAATTATAAACATACATCAACAATACTGAAGAGTACTACTAATTTCCTCACACACCCTTAGCTTCACAAATAATTATACACATACAATCAACAATACTGGCGAGCAGTATTAATTTCTCCACACACTTTTAGTTTCACATTTAACCTCACAAATTGTTTAAAATATTGTTAGTAAAAATTGATTTAAACATCATAAAAAATTAGTGGCTTTACGGATGTATTTTTATCTCATTTGTAACCCCGGTGAGTTAACAGTGAGTTTACGGACTTGCAACTAAAATCCGGAATTTGATTCCACGCAGTGGATAGAGCATAGGTAAATCATTGTGTGTAGCTTTGCACTAAAAAACACACACTAAAAAACAACTTATCACATTCATTATGGTCAACAGTTCCAGTTGTCACTAAAAAAAAAGAGTAGAATTATTCATACAAATTCCATATTTTGTTCAATATAAAAATATATTTTATATCAATTTACAAATTATAAATTACATAAGCATATTCTGACTATTCTTTTATTATTAATTTTGGTTACTTGATCAATGAAAGATTTTATAATATATAATTTAAATGAGGGTAAAAATTAATGAATGTTTTTCTGGTTTAACTTACATGTATATTTTCAGATAGCATAGTGTAGTATTTCTCTAACTTTTTTATTCACTGACCACTTGATGCTTTTTTATATTATCTCTACGGAGCACAATAGGATCTATACAATATGCTACCACATCCTTTCAGTATTTATGCAACCCCAGACCACCCAAAGGGAGCCCGTGGACCACGAGTAGTGTGGACCACAGATTGAGAACCGGGTGTAGTGAAAGCTAAGTGTAACAAAATTTAATAATAAAAAAAAATGGAACATCGAAAACCTCAGTACTACTAACACTACTATTAAAATCCACAGAAAGATAACGTGTTGGAAAGCTGTATGGAGAAATGTAGATACAAATAAATACATATCGTCGCTAACTGGCTTTTCCTTTTTTACTAAACATACAATATCAAGTAATAACATAAACACTTAGACATTTTTTAAACAAACTCACTTTTTTTAAGATCCCATGAAGACATTTTGCGAATCCTTTCCACCAGAGATGTAGACTTTTTTCTTCCTTTTAACAATAGTTAATAGGGACTCCATTAGTTCAAATTTGAATTGTTTTTTTTTTTCATTTTAATAAGCGCATCTGTTCTCTAACTTCTTATTCTATCTGAAAATATGTGAATAAAGCTACAGTCATTCACAATGTATGAGAACTTCAGAAAATAGTACGGCCACCTAGGAGTAGCACTGTAAACTAGAACATTTCTGTCACATGTCTTCTCTTATAAATCATGCCACAGAAATGATCTTATCAACGACCAAAATCATCATAAGACATAAAAACAATTATCATAAGACGCTATGCAGTAGGTATCCCTGTTAATACGCTGTCCTGTTCTCTCATTTTATTGGATAACCTGTTGGTTAAATTACCCCACAGTTTTCATATATAAAATACACTAAAGAACATTTTAGAGCGTAAGATATAATATGAAAAGCATTGTGTGTTGATCTCAGTGGAGATTTCAAACAATTACATTGCTCTACGGAACTTTTAACCATATTATTTACAAAACGGAAGTTCTCAAAACTATATTAGACATTTAAGGAGTATCTATGACTTTCAAAATTATTTCTTGACTAGCTGGAGTACCCGTCTGTTGGACGGGTGAAATAAAAATGTGTTTATAACAAAGGATAGGAAACTGTGCTTCTAATTTTTTTCTTAATGTAATAAATATTACAAGTGCAATAGAAAATGCATAAAGGTATCAATACTGAAAAGAAAGATATACTGTTTTTGAGAATTCTATCAAATGAAATTAGGTGGGGATACAACCCCCCTTCATGACCTTCCTCATGTCATCCTGTATCACTATATCAAGTTTGGTGCTGATTGATCAAGAAATGTGGAAATATATAAGGAAGAGACACAAACACATATTGACGTTTGTTTATATAGATATGTGGTGACTATTTCATTATACATATATTGTCCCCCCCAGAGACTTAGCGGTAAGTCTAAAGATTTATATGGCTAAAAACCGGGTTTTGATACCCGTGATGGACACAGCACAGACAGCTCATTGTGTAGCTTAACAATAAGCAAATAAGTATATATATATATACATATACAACCATAAAAATTTAAAAGGAAATATCGGTAAATATCTATACATTTTTATTAATCGAATAAATATGTGTATATACACATATATTTCGAAAATAAAGCAAGACCATACTTCTACGTGTTGGAACTTCTGTCATTACTGAACGTTATGTCTTTTATAATATTTAAAGACCACTGTATTCTTCTCCAAATGTTATGAATGAAGTTAGCCTAACAACTATTATTTTGTTGCTCACAGGCTCTGTTACCTTATTATATGAACATTCAGCTGCCTTTATCTTTATTAACTTCTATTAGTACTAGAGTCTAAACATGCATTGTAATACGTATATTTTCTTTTTTTTCATATTTTTAATTAGTTACCACTAAGTTGGTTGTTGAACATCCATGTTCTAAATTTGTATATTGCATGTAGAATTACACACAAACTGTTCGCTACCTTAAAACACGTTTCTTTTATGTACAAGCTTTCATCCCTCTTACCGGAGCCTTCATTGGGTGACAATGTTAACGTAAAGAACAGTTCGTGTCTAGTTTTACGTATTAATTCATCTACGTTATGAGTCTTAAAAAACAACTCGTACGTTATATTTTGAACTATATCAAAATGTACTTTTATGTTATATACAAGGTTAGGGAACCGGGATTGCCCAATGTTAGTTAAATTTGCCTCCATGTTCAACATGATCATCAAAATCTATTGGCAGCCGGAAATAAGTACTACAATTGAAACAGTGACGGTATATATATATATTGGTGACATTAGGTTTAGGCCTAACTTAAGTAGGACGTAAAATCTAACGTGCCTCGTCAGTACCGGATATAGCAGATATAGTGTGGTTGACATATATTATTATCCATTCTCCCATATTTACACTCATAAGTTATTAGAATTACTCATTCTGTCTTCTCCCATGCTTCAGGAGCATGAAGACTTAGTTTACTGGTTCGCCGGTTTTTCTGAATGGTAAGTAAAGTTAAATCAAGTAAAAATAAATAACAATAATAAAAAAGTGTTGTTAAAATAAACAAATGATATTGTGTCATTAATCAATACCCTATTTCTGATCTGTAAATGACTCTAGTTCACACCAATTGTTTGTGTAATTTGATAATGATAATATGAATAATGTCTCAACCACTACCGTATCTATCGTATCCCAGCCGGCCTGATGAGCTCTGGTGTTGAGCGAAAGCCCTCATCGGCACTGGATATAGCAGATGTAGCGGGATTAACATATTGTTGTACACTTTTACTCATAACTTCTTAGAATTAGTAAGATGTCATAACTTAGTTTAGGTCTTAATATCAGCAGATGCTGATTAGAATCTAACGTTAGTTGGACGTCCTAACTTATTATGTAAACTCTTGACTAAGAGTAGTAGAGAAATATTCAATATCAACTTATGGTACAATAATGAAACATTTGTGAAATCAAATAGCTTCAGTTGGTTACATACATACCTTCAAGCTTCAGCTTGTAGTGTTTAACAACGTCGTCATATCTCTGGCTCAAATTCAACCATTCAACACCACGTTTGAGTTTAGATCTCGCTCAATTTTCGTCGGTCATAACACGACAAACACGTTAGTGTTTCAAGTAATAATAATAATAATGGCGGTGATTTCTGTTTTTAACAGCTGCTTTTTTCTGAAAAAGATACATAAACAGAACAAACATTAATTTGTTTCATAACAATTAATCAAATTGTCTAGTGGCCAATTTTAGACTATTATCAGAACCTCCGGTGATGTTATATAGAAACAGAACAAGGTCGGACAACGCAACCGTTCTTATTATGGTTTTCAACCCTTATAAGACAATTCTACGCTTATGCTTCATATTCATCTCTGTTATCTTTTTAATATTTCTGAATTGCTGGTCCTGTGGTAGAGTTCTGTATTCCGGAGCAATCGAGTCGGGTTTGAATCCGTGTGTTACCACAAAAATATTTCCCTAACTTTAAGCTATGAGTACGTTATAAATCAATGCTTAAGCGTAGATGGTGGGTGGAAGGATGCTGTTTTCCCTCGGTTAATAACTTAAAATTTGGTCTGGAGGCAAAGGGTCTTATTAGCCTTGCCACAAATACAAATACAAGTGCCTTTTAAAGCGCGCATAAACCCTGAAGTGTGAAATTCCACCCCTTTTTTTGGGAGTGTTTAGACTGAGATAAATGTGGTGTTACTAAAGTAGGAGTTAACTTTTTCGAGTTTTTGATAATCGTGTTAATGAAATAAAATAGCATTACAATTACATATACCTACTGTAATTTAATAAATGCTCCACACTTCGAAAGTATTGCTGCATTGACAAAACATGACTTAGATGTGAACAGTCATGTACCCGTCTTATGATATAACGAACACATTTCAGAGTTTACCTAAGCCTAACTTGACACGTACACGGTGTGCTTATTGACTCAAACTTCATTGAATATCAGGATCATTTTCCGTGCTAATACGAAATAACAGACTTTCCAGGCATTAGGGGGAGAACTACAGTGAAATAAAACTATTCTATTAAAAAGGAGAGAGAGAAGATTAGGTTACGTGTAACAGCTATCTTTTGTCTGAACCAGAATAATATTAACCCATATAATTTCTCCAGATGACGCGTAACGAGTTAGAAAAAATTAAATGCAGATTATTAATCGCACGTTATAAGAACGATATATATATATATTCTGATATAGTGGCATCATTGCGCAGATGCTACCTGTGGCGACATGGATGACGTGTTTGAAGGATGTATTTTCATTGGTCACAGTAATGCAGACTATTCGACAAGACAATACCACCGCGGGTAAACATATAGCTCGAAGAATATGTCATATCCATTTTCGTGTAGCAAAATGACAAGAAGTGCAAATTTCGGGGTAGACAAATTTCAAAAATGATTATATGTAACTTGGTGAATAGCATCAGCAAGGGATGTTTGTTTGCTTTATCCCACAGAATTTATACCATTTTCTATTTGGTATTT